CTATAACAGTGAAAAAAGTTTTTTGTTTTTAAATCCAAGCTATTGTGACACCAGATGTAATTGGTGGCACTGACTGGGGAAATGGGCACAGTATGCACTGTGAGCCTGACACAGAAACTGGCAGCAGTGGCAGACAACTGACTGCTATTCAATCTATAACAGTGAAAAAAGTTTTTTGTTTTTAAATCCAAGCTATTGTGACACCAGATGTAATTGGTGGCACTGACTGGGGAAATGGGCACAGTATGCACTGTGAGCCTGACACAGAAGCTGGCAGCAGTGGCAGACAACTGACTGCTATTCAATCTATAACAGTGAAAAAAGTTTTTTGTTTTTAAATCCAAGCTATTGTGACACCAGATGTAAGTGGTGGCACTGACTGGGGAAATGGGCACAGTATGCACTGTGAGCCTGACACAGAAGCTGGCAGCAGTGGCAAACAACTAAGTGCAATTACATTACATAGAAATAAAAAATAAAAAAAAAGCATACCCTTATCCTTAACCTAGCTATGCTTTTCCCTATCTTATGAACAGCAGCTACACTTTCCCTCCTCTTACTAAGCATGCAGCTTGAGAATGAATCTAAAATGGATGCTGTCCAGTAGGTGGAGGGTCTGCTAGGGAGGCTGTGCTGCTAATTGGCTGGAATGTATCTGCTGACTGTGAGGTACAGGGTCAAAGTTTACTCAATGATGACGAATAGGGGGCGGGTCGAACCGCGCATATGTTCGCACGCCGTGGCGAACGCGAACATGCTATGTTCGCCAGGAACCGTTCGCCGGCGAACCGTTCGGTACATCACTATTTAGGATGTGTGTTAAGAATGGTACAAGACAAAGGGAGAAAAATCTGATACGGTGGGAAGGCTTTTGGAGAGGCTTGCTTGCCCGCCTCCTGCCATGTGACTATGGCCCTGGGGTATTGCCCTTTAAAGACAGTATTTGGGCATGATGGATTTTTATTATGCGGCTACTGGCCCTTTAAGCACAGTGTATGGACTTTTGTTGGACTGTGTATGGATTGTGTATAGGAAGGGCAAGCAAGCCTCTCCAAAAGCTCATGGCAAACTCTCTTAAAGGGTTGAGTTTGCTACATATCTCCCCTTTCCCATTGAGACTATCCAGACTCCAGACCTCCCAGTGGTCTGGTGCTCTGATAGTCTGCCGGCCTTCCTCAAAAGGTGTAGTTGTCCAGATGGCCTCCTGCCACCTGTGCCCAGTTGTAGATCCTGGGTCTTGTGGAAAAACAACCAGAATGCCTTCTCCCCTGGTTGGACAAAGCTGTTGCTGGGGACGGCGGATGCAGTTCCCCTCCTCTAGACTTGGTGGGTCGAGGTTTACAAAACTTTGCTCTTTGGTCCTCGGTGACCTTGATGTAGATGGTGCGCCATCAGGATCTAAGGCAAAAGGGAAGAGAGGGCAGAAGCCGCCTGCTTTCTGCCAGGATGCCAGCTTTTCTTCCTGCAATGCTCTCCCTTGTTGTAGGGGAGAACCAACTGTTTCCCCTTCCAATAAATGGTACCACTGTTGGGAAGCAGGACAGACTGTCCCTACCCCCGGTGGTGCCGGTGCAGCGACTACGGTCCCATCTGACCTGTTGTGGGGCTTACTGTCTCCCCTTGGTGGGCTATGCTGCCGCTGATAAGGGAGGATACTGCTCTCCCCTCCCAGTGAAACACACTGCCGCTGGGGATCTGGGCCAACTGTCCAGCATCCCTGTAGCTCACCCTGCCGCGGGGGAGGGAGGACGCTATTCTCCTCTCCCTGCAAGGTATACTGCCACTGGAGAGGGAAGACGTTGCTCTCCACTCCCAGTGAAACACACTGCCGCTGGGGATCTGGGCCGACTGCCCAGCATCCCTGAAGCTTACCCTGCCGCCGGGGAGGGAGGACGCTACACTTCTCTCCCTGCAAGGTATACTGCCGCTGGGGAGGGGAGACAATGTTCTCCACTCCCTGCACTTCATACTGCCGCTGGGGATCTGGGCCGACTGCCCAGCATCCCTTTAGGGCCGGTAGAGAGACCGCCGTCCCCTCTCCACCTGCCATCTGTGGGTCTTCCCAGGACCAGTCTATGAGGTCCCTCATTTCTGGGGCTGGTTGGGGAGTAGATGGTGTAGGCCCCAGGTCTCCTGATGACAGACTTAGTCGTTGGGGAGGAGGGACGAAACTCAATGCTCCCAATGGTGTACAGTCCATAAGCCCTACCATGTCAGAGAACTGTGGTGTCACTGGATCAAATAGCGGATCTTAATCCTGTTCGAACTCCCACTGCTCTGGCGATACCTGCAGGGTATAGGGTGACTGACTGGAGCTGATCAGGTGCTGGTAATCCTGCTCAAGTTCCCATTCCTGGACGGCCAATTCAATCAGGTCTGGCTCCAGGTTTTCAGCCATAGGGAGAGCCAGCATGGCCTCTCTATAGTTAAGTATGTCCCAAAGCCGGGATTCTGCCACACTCCCAAAGTCCGGTTCCGCAAAGGCTCCCCATAATAAGCCAGGGCCATTGTAATTCTTGCCCTCCGGTTTGTCGAACTTGGCCATTCCGTGAACCCGCTGAACCGCGTACCAACGTAGTGCTTGGTACGCATCATCAAAAACCAGTTCCCTCCATGCCAGTGTATCAAGCTGTATCACCAACTCTCCCCGGGGCTGGTCTCCCAGCATAGGTATCCGTAGGGCGATTCGAGCTTGTAATCGCTGCTCCTTGCTGGGGAGGCGCTCACCTCGCCAACGCTGGACACCCTCCAGAGTTTCTTCCCACGTCTTTTGTCGGGCATCCTCTCTGCATGCCAACCTGGTTGCCTCTGCTATCGAACTATCCAGTGTGGCCAAGATGCTCTGTAACCTCAGGTTAAACTCATCATCCACCACAAGAGCAACTGATTTGAAAAATCTCTTCTGCAAATATGGAAAGGTGGTAGAGGGAAAAGTGGTTACAAATGCTCGTAGTCCTGGTGCCCATTGTTATGGATTTGTCACAATATCCTCTTCTGAGGATGCAACCAAATGTATAACCCACCTTCACAGAACTGAGCTACATGGAAGAATGATCTCTCTGGAAAAGGCTAAAAGCGAGCCTGCTGGAAAGAAACCTGAAAGAAAGAAAATGAGCCAAAGAAAGAAAAGACTTCTAGCAATGACAGGCGTACATCAACTGATAACAAGTCCGAAAAGTCCTCACCGGTGAAGAAAGATGAAGCGGCTGCTAAAGATGATACTAAACCTGAAGAAAAAGAGGATACTGAAAAAGACAAGGAAGAACCCAAGTCTGGAACAGATCATTCTAGAACTAGCAAGTCAGGAAGTAGAAGAACAGAACGTACTGTTGTCATGGACAAATCAAAAGGCGAGCCGGTTATAAGTGTTAAAACATCATCTGACTCAAAGGAAAGGAGTTCTAAAAGTCAAGATCGCAAGTCTGAGAGTAAAGAGAGACATACTCTCATTCGATAAAATTAGAGAACAATGGGACAAAAAACGGGGGAGGGGTACACCTTCCTATACATAATTCATACACAGTCCAACAGAAGTCCATACACTGTGCTTAAAGGGCCAGTAGACGCATAATAAAAATCCTTCATGCCCAAATACGGTCTTTAAAGGGCAATGCCCCCAGGGCCATAGTCACATGGCAGGAGGCGGGCAAGCAAGCCTATCCAAAAGCTCATGGCAAACTCTCTTAAAGGGTTGAGTTGTCTACAACTCTTTAGAGTTAAAACCACCATCTAGCCCAAAATGGCTTCCTTTAGATATAGTAAAATCTTACTTGAATTCAAGTCTGCAGCTCCTGGCTCTGCCCCTGTTTGCATGTGAACTCCCTCTGTCTGCTGACATAATCAGAAGTGGTGGTATGAGCCAATCACAATGATTCCCCATAGGATTGACAGAGACTGTCAAGGAAGCAGATCGGGGCAGAGCCAGCACAAGTCAAACACAGCCCTGGCCAATCAGCATCTCCTCATAGAGATGAATAAAATCAATGCACCTCTATGAGGAAAGTTCAGTGTCTGCATGCAGAGGGTGGAGACACTGAATGGCAATGCTGCTTACTCTACAGCAATACCCCAGGAAGCAACTCTAGCAGCCTTCTCAGGAGTGGCCAGTGGAATTATTACTAGGCTGTAATGTAAACATTTCAATTTCTCTGAAAGGACAGTATTTACAGTAAAAAGCCTGGAAGGAATTATTTTACTCACCAGAACAAATGAAATAAGCTGTAGTTGTTCTGGTAACTATTGTGTCCCTTTAATATTTGGGTATTTTAGCTGTATTTGTTAATTAGATCTTAGGCTTGACAAAGACACTGTCTGTGTGTCAAATCGTTGCTGAGTCCACTAAGTGGTGGTATAAATCTTAAATTGCAAACTTTGTGGTGTTGCAGTTACATTGAATTTTTTGCAAGATGTGTGTATGTGCCAGTGTGTTTATCAGTGTGTCAAGGTGTGCGCATGTGTCAGTATGTGTATCTGTGTGTGAAGGAATATTGACCCCTTAAGGACACATGACATGTCATGATTCCCTTTTATTCCAGAAATTTGGTCCTTAAGGGGTTAAACAATTAATCTGTCAGTATTTCAGAACTACTTGCAAAACATAACTGAAAGGAAGTCACAAGCTATGACAGTTTCTATGTATCAGGAAATGCCTAACCACAATGTGTATGTGATATTTTGTAAAATTAGATTATTGAATGTAACAGCAGAAACTGCTTCCTCTTTTATGTATCTTGTGTAACCTTTTTGTAACCTTTTTGTAACCTTTTGTAACCAATATTCGTGACAAATATTGTATAAGTACAGAGCATTTTGAATACATTGTCAGAAGATTATGGAAAGCAAAGAGTGTGTGTCTGGTTAATACGCTTCCATAAAAATCTTCCCTGAATATTCAGCTGACAATCGAGGGTTGGAGAATAGTGACCAGAGGGACCGAGTCACCAGATTAGCAGATTTACCTTTCAGCTTGGTGTCAGAAGTGGGATTGTAGCCAAACCATTTTGGGTGAGTAGTAATTCCTTGTGTCTATCTTGACGCCCTGAATCTATGATCCCCATGGTTTTGTAAGTCTACATCATTTTAGGAAAGGTTATTTAGTATATGTGTTTTATGTGACTCAGTTTTACATAAGGTCCCGTTAAATTAGTCTAGTAAGGGAACTAGACAGAGAGATATATGTATTTCTAGTAAGTGAACTAGAGAAGGTCTAATAAGAGAATTAGACAGATAAAAGGAAATTTATAAAGTGATATAGACAGAGAATTTAGTATATAAGTGAATATACTACGATAGTGTGCACAGAGTTTCAGGTTCACCTTGTCCACCCTCTAATTGTCATTAGTTAAGTCTGGTTGTGAGTGTGAATAAGTGTTTGAAAGATTTGTCCTAGGAATGGGAAATTACCATGCAAGAATATGAAGTAGTTAACTTTTCTTGTTCATATGTATTTTATGCTTAAATAAGGTTTATAATCATTAGTGCTGACTGTAAGGATATGAAATAGTTAAACTCTTTTTGCTTTATATGCTAACCCTGAAAATATACTCACTGAGAATCTTGTTAAAGCACATTTGTAGTGTCCATGTCTTTATTGCAAACAACGATTCTCCATCAGTTGGGTGATTATCTATACTGGGGACACACTTTGGTAAGTTAGTAGTGTGTCCACCCTGAGTCAGCAGTATGGGATATGTAAGTTCAGGTCCTGAGTGACCAATATATCTACATATATATATATATATATATATATATATGATAGCAGTACTGTATATTAGAAAAGAACTGACTCGCAGGTTGTACCTGATAGACCTACTTAAATCTTTTGTTTTATTCTTTCTGTTGCATAGAAGTATAAGTTTATTACTCTGTTTTATTGCAAGTTATTTCACATGGGATCTGTGTGCATGGTATGATTGTTACTTTAATACCATAAGCCCACTACACTTTCTATGAGAGTGGGATAGTGTAAATGTGTTACATTGTTTGCATGATGAGCTCAGTATTTTTATAACTGAGACAAAAAGTCACATCATTAGTATTTGAAAGTTAATTCCCCATATGGGATTAATTGTATAGAACACCAATCAGCACATCTTCCCTGCCCTGTGTGTTTGTTGCAGAGGATACATACTGTAAATATGATTTTTGTTTGTAAATAAGAGAGCAACATTTACATTTTCAGCGGTCCAACACATGCTTTATTTTGTGCTGTAAGCTAACCTTTTTATTGCTACAGATGCTTTAAATGATTCAGCTACTGCATATGTTTTGTGTCTTCTATGTCTCACATTATATGTGTTCTGTTCTTTTAAATTGTGGTATATAGCCTGGATCAGAGATTATGGACAAAGGTTTCTACCTGTGTTACTAAGGCTCTTGGAGACTGACCGGTCTATAAATTTTTTAAGTCTCTGAGAGTTCTGTAAGATTCTGGTGAAACCATGTCTGTGTAATCTGGTCCAAATGTTTGCTCAATTTCTATAAGATTTAAGTTGATGCAGCATCATCTCAGATTAGTTAATGGAAGTTTCATACAAATATTTGAGTTATGAGCGCGTTATATAAATGGATCCTTTCTCTATATACAATACTATAGTAGATTAAAGTAATGAAGTTAATAAGAATTTAAAAAAAAAAAAAGTATACATAAGAATCCCTAAAATAAATCTAATACAAACTAAAATTGGTATACCTTACAATAATATGTTCTGAGTACAGCTGTTAACTGTTTATTCTGTGTAAATGGTGATTGTGATAATGTGTGAAGTGTGCAGCTTAACTGGAAAGTGGTTTAATTTATATGTTGCTGTGTTGTTTTAAATTATATTTGAATCAGTTTGTCTCAGTTTAATGATACTGATAAAAATGCCAGTCAAATAACCTAGCAAATAACAGTTTTATTAGCTGTTGAAAACTAGCGTTTTTAGACCCTACTGGGAGATGGTAGGGAATGTTATCAAAGAGGCTGTAGACAAAAGCATCATAATTACCCCAGAACTATGCCTACTTTTTATGGAACTAGACAGGTACAGAGGTAAGGAAGCAATCCTGGTCTTCCATATAATAATAGGGGCCCTGACACTCATAGCGAGGGAATGGAAAAATATAGAGGCACCGTCGAAAGGAGCCCTGATGAAACAGATTTCTAACAACTTACAATATGAAACAATAGCGAGGAAAGCCTATAGCAATAGCACAAGATTTGAGGAAGCTAAACTTAAATGGGAAACCATTAATGCTCCCAAGAGTCACGAGGACGACGAGTAGTCCCAACACTAAGAGAATACACATACACGGAGTTCTACTAATATAGCAAAAATACACTCCTAGGGGTAAGGGAAGGTCGTCAAGAGACACAGATCAGAGGGAAACTAAACAGACAGACAGGTGAACAAATACATAAATAAAAGATAAGAGCATTGAATGCAAAATACAGTAATAAAAGAATGGCAAGCACCGGTGGGGGGGCATTACACTGAACTCGCTAACCCCCCCCCCCATCTCCCTTCCCTCCCTCCTCACCAGTTATGCAGACCCCCCCTCCCGCATAGGGAGGTTTAGGAGGAGTTACGGAAGGCTCACTGGGATAACTTTAGGAGAAGCCATGAGCAGCGAGATCGGCAATAACGGCAGGTAGATCTGCCCAGCTGATCAAGGTTCATGGGGGAACCCCCTCAAGGACAAGGAGAGAGTAGTCCCCAGGATCCATCGTCAGAGGGCGAGGTTAGCAGAACAACAGCACACAAGGTATCTGTACAAAATGACACCCTGTGACAACGAAGAATTGTATGATATCAATGTAAGATGTTACCCCATGCCTCCCCTTTTCTCTTCTGTATCCCACTTCTATACGTTATGACCCAACTTGAAAATAAAAATTGTCAAATTGGAAAAAAGAAAACTAGCGTTTTGGCCAAGAGTAGTTGGAGTAGTTCTATCAGGCTCTGTGTTGTGTTCTGATATAGCTATATGGGAATGGAGATTTGGAGGTGTTAGTTTAAGACTGATTTCATATTGTGTCTACCCGTGTTTCCTAGGAGAGACACAGAGTGTGTAGTTGCGTACCCAAGAATGTGTTTTCTGTATTGGCATATCTGCTGGGTATCCATTATGTGTTTTCTGATACGTCTGTTTTGTGGGATGTCTGTTTTGTGAGATGACATGTAATATTACATTGGATGCTGAGAATGAATTATATGGTTTGAAATGAATTGGTGTGTTATGTGTTTCATGTATTTTATTGTCCATTGTGTAGGAGTTTAACTATCAGAGTGATTTGCATATCATTAACGTAAGCATTTAGTGTTTTTACAAAAGGTGAAATGCTGTCCAGCCGGCTAGAATGAAACAATTGTATGCTATCGCTCCTGGAGCAAGAAAAGCGCTTGTTACATCCCACGTGAAAGGGGCCCTGCAAACTTCTGCTGTTCAAATCGTGGGTCCACGTTTCCATTTGCAAATTGATTAATCCTGAAAGTCATTCTTTTACTGATAAAAAGGATTGAATGGACAAGATGTCTCTCCCTCATAAAGGTGTTCTAATAGGGGAGTATTGTCCAGCTCAGAGTTAACTCTACTTTTAAAGTATAT